CTGTTGCACATAGCTGACAATAACTGTGTATGTGTGTGTGTTCAGGTAGCTCGAAGCGAGATAATCACGCGCTCACCTGCCATGGGAAAGCGTCTGTTATCACGAGTCGTGTCGCCCGTCCTATTCTGGGAGAGGTGGGACAGGTCAAACAAAATAAGCTCCATTTCACGCATGCTCCCTCTCCTCGACTGCTCGACCTCCATTACGCGCTCATTATGCAATGTCGCCCGATAATGCCAATGGCAGTTAAAGAGCTCAAAAGATAAGCAAACGCATACATTACGTATACGTAATTTCTGGGTTGGTGCACGAAGCCCAGGCGTGGGAAAGGGAGCGCCCATAGCTGGCAGGCGGGCGCTGCAGCTGCTGTCAAATGCAATGACAATGAGATCAAATGCTGAAGACAGACAGAGAGAGAGAGAGAGAGAGAGAGAGAGAGAGAGAGAGAGAGAACTGAGTCGAGTTGCCCTGTGATTGCTAATCTTTTTTTGAATGGAAAGTCTCATTCCACTTTCTTGGCTTCTCCTTTCGTTCTTTGTATTTCTGTATTTTCCTCCTATACTCTCTGCTATCTCGTTTTCCTCTCTCTCACTTTTCCTCAGTTTATCTCTCGTCCTTATGACCCATGGCTATTTCAGCCTTAATGTCTGTCTCTCTCTGTCATGCATCTCTCTCTACCTTCCCAAGTCACGCTTTGTATAACCTTATGTTCCTCTCGGACACTATCAATGCCCCTGGTTTCTTTTTCTATCCCTCTCTTTCTCTTTCTCACTATCTCAGTATCTCCTGGTTCAACATTCTACCCCTCCCCACTTCATCTCTTTCTGACTGCCTCGCAAGTGCTAATAGCTATTTCCCTTGTTATTTTCACACGTGGTAAGTATGCATATATTTTTGGGCATTTCCGCTTCCTTTTGTTACCTCACAAAAACAGCTCCAGCTCCAGCCCCATGTGCCCAACCAATCACAGGGTAGATCGAGCAACGCCAAAGGTCATTGCCTCACTATTTTTGGCGCCAAATTTTGCTTGGCGACTCATCGCCAAGCGTTCGCATTGTTGTAGTTTTATTTATTGTTGCTGTTGTTTCTGTTGTTGTTGCCGGCTCGTGTTTTGATTTTTTTCCTTTCGCTAGCTACTCATTCTTATTATTATTGTTGTTGCTGTTGAGTTGAGTTTATTGACTTGGGCGCCGAAAAGCGACTCGCATAAGCTCGCAGAATGAGAGCAGAGCCAGCAGCAGCAGCGGGTGGTGTTGCTAGTGGGGCCCGAATGGCTGGCCGAGGAGGTGGAGAAGACCTGGCCCCTTTTAATGGGGTAAGCGAACGCCTATGGAATTTGCCACCTTCGCGGCGGTACGGCAGCGCGACAGCACGGCAGCTCTGTCGACGATCGGCGCTCGCTTTTTGACCGCACATGAACCGCGGCGCATGAATTGGGGAATGTGCTGTGTAACTGCGTGCTAACGCCGCCCCAGCTCCCGTCGCCACTCCGCCTCCTCCAGTGCCAGTTCCAAAAGAGAATAACAACAACAGCTGGAGGAGGCCCGAATGTGAAGCCAAAACAAAACGGGCGCAAATAAAAACAGAATATGGGGAAATACGTGCGAAAAAAAGCGAAAATTTTTGGTTGGCGGTGTTTTTGGCTCGAGAACCAAAACAGCAACAACAACAGCAACACAAGCAGCAACAACAACAATAACAAAAAGTGCGCGTTCCCAGCGCCAAGTGCCGGGTTAATGACATCAACAACAACTATAAACAACGAACTGAAGTCACAGCAACAACAACAATAACTGCCCATAAAAATGAAGCAACAACAAAGCAAATTACAACAACACCAACCTATCCAAGCAGCAACAACAAACACCACCAAAAAGGCAAAGTGAAACAAAAAGTGTATTTAATATCGTTGTTGTTGTCGTCGTTGTCATTGTCTTCAGCAAAAGTTTCTAGCCCACGCCCCAAGCCCCCCAACAACCCTGATCAACACTCCAGCTATCCCCCTACCTCTCTCACTCTGCTGTAGCGTTTTGCTGTCTCGCTTCCACAGTAGAACCTAAAAAAGAACCTGTTCGACAAGTCCAATGTCTCACCCGCCTCCCTAACCTAAAGTAGCGCCAATAAAATTCTGGAATGGTTCTCTATATAATACTCTACCCCTGTATCTGCATTTCTATCTTTATCTGCATCTGTATCTGTATCTGTATCTGCATCTGCATCTGCATCTGTATCTGTATCTGTATCTGTATCTGTATCTGTATCTGTATCTGTATCTGTATCTGTATCTGTATCTGTATCTGTATCTGTATCTGTATCTGTATATGTATATGTATAATATTAATATCAATTCACTACGAATATACCCCGTTTGTAATACGTTTGCTTTTTTCGGGCTATGGCATTGTTCGCTTAATATGTAGTTGTTGTTCTTCAAGATTATCTATTTTGGCTAGTTCCCGGTCTATGTGGCCTGTTTCCATTTTAACTGGGCTATTGCGACTTAAACTGAAGTATCAAAACATATAGCAAGAGAGACAGAGAGAGGTAGATAGAGCGTGTGCTGGTTGAAGAAGTCGTGGAGTGAACTACGGCAACGACGACGCTTCAGGTTTTATTGAACTTTGCCAAGTTCTGAGCTCGCCTCGTCCGCCCTCTCTCAGTCCCGCTCTCTGAATACCGCACACCCCCTGCTCAACCAATACGTCAATTCGTGTCTTTTTTGTTGCTGATTTTGCGAAATTTATTTAAATTGTATTTTGGATTTTTTTGTTGTGTTTTCGGTTTTCGTGTTTTTGTAATGAAAAGCGCCAAAAAGCTAATGATGNTAGCTGTATCTTTTAGCTATGTCTGTAACTTTAGCTGTATCTGTATCTGTATCTGTATCTGTATCTGTATCTGTATCTGTATCTGCATCTGCATCTGTATCTGTATCTGTATCTGTATCTGTATCTGTATCTGTATCTGTATCTGTATCTGTATCTGTATCTGTATCTGTATCTGTATCTGTATCTGTATATGTATATGTATAATATTAATATCAATTCACTACGAATATACCCCGTTTGTAATACGTTTGCTTTTTTCGGGCTATGGCATTGTTCGCTTAATATGTAGTTGTTGTTCTTCAAGATTATCTATTTTGGCTAGTTCCCGGTCTATGTGGCCTGTTTCCATTTTAACTGGGCTATTGCGACTTAAACTGAAGTATCAAAACATATAGCAAGAGAGACAGAGAGAGGTAGATAGAGCGTGTGCTGGTTGAAGAAGTCGTGGAGTGAACTACGGCAACGACGACGCTTCAGGTTTTATTGAACTTTGCCAAGTTCTGAGCTCGCCTCGTCCGCCCTCTCTCAGTCCCGCTCTCTGAATACCGCACACCCCCTGCTCAACCAATACGTCAATTCGTGTCTTTTTTGTTGCTGATTTTGCGAAATTTATTTAAATTGTATTTTGGATTTTTTTGTTGTGTTTTCGGTTTTCGTGTTTTTGTAATGAAAAGCGCCAAAAAGCTAATGATGAAATATTTGCCAGGCTTTGCACTGCGCAGTTTCGGTTCTGTTTTTTGTTTCTGTTTTGTTCTCCGCTGTTTCTCTTGGCCGTTTGTCTGGGGCCAATAATCTTACACGAGCTGGGCTCAAAACTACTAACTGTCTCTCTCTCTCTCTCTCTCTCTCTCTCTCGCTTTCAGTTTTCCTCTTCGAATCCCTGCCGCATTCTTTAGCCGATCTGTGGAACGTGCCAGAAATTGAAATTTCGTTAGTTCTTCTTTCTAGGTGTCATATTGTTAGATCTATTGCGCGATCTGCAGATGTACCAGGGCGCACGTTGTGTATGCGTAATATTCACGTAAATGTATACACACATACATATATATCTCTTGCGAGCGGGATTCAAGCTCTAAGGGTTATTGACTTTGAGCCGAGACTTTGCTTCCAAGAATTGCGTCCACATCGAACATGAGCTCATTTATGAGTCAGCTGGAATATGGGAATGCTGAAAGTCAAACGCTCAGTTATCGCGCCTGAATTGGGCAAGATATATACACATATATATAATTATAATAGTTTGCAATAAATGTAGTTTACTTGGTGGGTGTAATAGGATGAGGTAAAGTATATTAAGTGAATTGTGAATCACGCAGTTCCGTATCTGAGTATCTCAGTATTATGGTATCTCAGTATCTATCGTAGTATTTTAGTTTCTTAGTATCCTGGATCACAGTTCCCCCACCCCCATCACGCACGCATTCGCACTTTATCTGTGTACACAATGTCAATTGGAAATGTTGGCAAAAGGTTAACTCTATTTGTGGCATTGCGTTTGTTTATCGCAATTGACTCAGCTCGTTAAAAATAGATGAAGGCATCAACAACAATTCGAAGCTTGTACTTCCCACTGATGAGGGGGTGATAGAGGCTAATGGGCGTGACAGTATCTGGAGTTCCCATGAGCACTGGCGAAAAAAAAAAAAAATCAAGTCGCAAAAATCAGTTAGCAAAGTTATACACAAACGGATATTGCTGTTTGTTGTTTACGACTTAACGTGTCATTAACGCGGCCGAGAGCTGTTCGAAATTCGTGGAAAACTACGAAAATGAAATCGTAACTCGAAATCTGATGAGTTGACTGATTTCGTCGAACGGTGGAAGCAAAGCGCGTGCCGCATTTCGACTCGGACTCGGCTAATTCACACGCGGACACTAATCAAATTGTTTGCCCAATAGTTTTTACACACGTAATTAACGCGATCGCTGCAGAAACAACAAGTGAGTGGGCCTTAGCTGAGAAGGGGCACTATGTGATACTCTGTAAACAACGGGGAACTGTAATTAGTTAAGTCGAACCATATGTCCTCTGCTTCTAATGTAAGCGCTACATAGGCTGTATATGAAGCGATCGATATTTATCGATTGTGTGTACGATGTTCAATTGCTAGACCAATTATATTTATTATCCATGAGATTTCTGTCTATGTTTTATAAATTATTTCAACTTATCAAAATTAGTGTTTTAGAATTTTAACAGAATCAAAATTATGGGCTCGCCGGTTTTTTTTATAACTTTTATCACATTACTATGTCTATTTTCATTGATGAGTACGGGTAAGCCATATCGATTGCAATAGTAGATGTGTTGGGATTGCCTGACTAATTGATACCCTGAGTCCCGTCCGAAAAGAAATTTGTCTTCGCAGGAATCAACTCGAAGTCTGTCAACACAACTCGAAATCATAAAACAAGTATTTTGTTTGATCTTAGGTCATTAAGTATAACCAATGTTTATTCCTTAAAGCTGAAGCTAATCAATTTAAAATTGTGGGAGGTTTCGAAGCCAACACCTCGGATGCTCCATATATGGCCTCATTGCGTTATGCACACGAAGAGGCTGATGCACTGGGCAGTGGGCATTTTTGTGGTGGGACTATTATTAAAGATCGTGTAATTATTACAGCAGCTCATTGTATATTTAGGTGGGTACTCCTGAGTGAATATGCCTGTTTACTCACTTAATTCGCTGCAGAAAGAACCAAACTGATGTATCGGTTGTAGTGGGATCCAAGTATCTTTTCCGCAGTTGGCCGACAACGAAGAAGCTGAAAGTCTCATATTGGACCTATCATGTAAACTATATAAGGGCAAGAAGTACAACCTACGATATTGGAGTGATATTCACAATTGAAAATATAGAACCCGTTAATGGGGCAATCGCATTTCTGCCCCTTAACACGGTGGAATTAAGCCCTGGTACTAAATGTCTATTGTCTGGATGGGGTCGASTTGAGCACGTAARCAAATCAATTTTATTATCCACTTTATTTGAACTTGGACATTGTTGCACTCGTGTATCGATAACTAGACTAATCGATTGCTTTTTCCCATCATAGAATGAATTCAATACTTCAAACAGTCTGCAGGCAACGTGGCAAAGGCTTCTAGACAAAACGGCATGTTTTAAGGTGATTCGTATGTATAACATATTATGCTCCGACTCAGGGTCTTCGACTGGAGCCGGTCTTGGTGATACAGGTGGTCCGTTGCGATGCAACGATAAACTTGCGGGAGTTATCTTCGCCACAAACTTCAAAGGTAGCGTCTTATATGTAGATGTCCGGACATTTGCCGATTGGATAGAAAAACAGATTAAAAATGGAAAAAATGGAATAATGCCACTTGGTTCGTTTTGCATTGAGAGAAACGTTGTTTTGGTCATCAGCATTTGTGTGGCCACCATTTGCAAGCCGGGCATTCTAGACATTTCGTCGTACTCAAACTAAACGGAGTTATTTCCGATGAGTCCGTAGGTTTTATTATTTTACTTTATTAAAGATTCCTACTTTCCTCTGATATTGATGATGATGTTGTTGTATTTACATCTCAGCCATACAATGTCCATTGATCTCTAAATATCTGTAAAAATATGTACTCTTTCAAATTCAATAACACTTTTAAAATCATAAATTAAATGAATAAACGGATATGATTTTGTATCCGTATGTCGACCTCAGAACTTATTTGTGTTGTTATGTGTAATAAAATGAAATACCAAATTTGTGGAGAGTTCAGGGTATTTGCTAGTTGAGCACTCTCGACTGTTACCGCCTGTCGTGATGCCTCGCAGTTTTTACATTGTTTTTGGGGAATTTTTTATTCGACAACTGATATTTCTCATATACCCTGTCAGCCATTGAGAACATATGCGACAGGAGCATATTAGCAGTGAGTAGGCGTATGCAAAATTCAGCTAGTTTATATTCATCAGCAATATATGTGAGTGTATTATTGTGGTTTTCATGAAGTGAAATGAAAATCGTACTACGACTGAGCTGATTTAAGTCACTCGATCATTATTGATATGGTTCGATATCGATGGGGTGGCTAGCATTAGATAAGGATCGGTAGACGCCGTTGCCAATTACATGGTATGTGCTCATCGGGCAAGTTCATCGTTCAGGTGTGGTTGTTGCTTCTGCGAATTGCGATACGATGAGTTTATTTGTTTTTGTCGCGCAACGCGCAATAAATAAGTAAATTTACATTCAACGCAAATACAATAACAAATGCATAAATAAAAGCAATTCCAAAAATTCGCACACGACCTCAATGAGTCACAATGAGTGGTAAAAAACAGGAGACAGAGATAGAAACAGACGGGGAGAGAAAGAGAGACTAACCAGAGGCAGAAAATGCCACAACAAACACCTCAACTTGCTGCTGCTGCTGCTGTCATCGGAAGCCCCAAGCTCCCCCTTTGCTGCACTGAGGATCCCCTCAGCTGTAATGCGCGACCAAAAATAAAATTTGTAAGAGAAACCAAATTAAAACAGCGCAAAAAGTATTCAGGTATATACATATGTATGTGTGTGTGTGTGTGTACGTATATAAACGATTCTGTTTGTAAACAATTTGAGAGTCTCAAAAACAAGTTGGATGCATTTGGCTCTCGAGCATTGCGCTCCCGTAAATAATTACCAAGCACGATATACATACATATGTTGACAATGATAAATATATGCACACGCGATCAATGGGCTATAGATATGAAAATATTGCCAATTTGTTATGGGTTCAATAAACCGTATTATTGCTCTTATCAGGCCAATTAATCAAATGAGCGAGCTGCGAACTTTGACCACACGTCAGACCAAATTCTCAACATCTAGGCATGGTCGTAAAGATCTCTAGAGCCAAAATATCGCATATTTATAGATCGCGCTTTTATATGCACCATAAACCGAACATTAAGCTATAATTATAGCGATTAGCTATTTTCGTCGATTTCCTAAATGTGAAATGATATATGAATATTTTCGAACTGGCATTGTTCTATTTATAGCCAATTATTTAGATCCATTATAGAATTTGTCATGGGTGTGACTCCTCTCTTCTGTTTATTCTCTATTGACGAGATATGTTTAAAAAGTAGCACCTATTCCCAGATATTATATGATGTGGGGGAATACGCGGGAATTTTATAGAGATTCCCAGATATCTTGTTTGTACAAAGCTTGCCTGGATTATTTCGAAGATGACATTTGCTTGAGTGTAACTTCAAATACCCTGCACACACTTCAGGAGTCTATCCTGGCCTTCCAACAGAAGGTCTATCAAGACCCTTGCTGAAATCTTCGAATCTATTCATTAGCAGCTCAAGGCGAATCGTTTGCCGATTCTGAGGTTCGTGCCCGCTCCTTACATAATTGCAGCTGCATTGCACTGTGCCCAGGTAGACAGATGTGCGCCTTTTAGCGACCACCACAGGCGCAGCAAGGACAATAACAACAAAAAGAAGAACAAGATGAAGAAGAGCGAAAAGTTGCGGCAGGTGCGCGAAATTTGGTTGTTTGTCGAGTTGGGAATTGAAGACGAATCGAAACGAGATAGACTCCGAACAGGCAAATGGGTAGCTTGCACCCTGTAAGTGCAGAGAGTATTGGCGGCTTTGATTGATCGAATATATAAATGTATATAATGTATATGTGTATGAATGTAGGACAAACACAGGGTATCATTATAGTCAGTCATTGTGATTCTATATTCTCAAAATAGCCTAGTCTTGACACATTCTCTGCACACACATATACAGGATAACATTCTAGCCTAGATACAGAGTATCATTGTAGTCAGTCATCAGTGTTTGATTCGTGCTGGGGCTTGTCAGCGCAAATAAAGTGGAAGTAAGTGGAAGTAAATATTGGCCAGGTCGCAGCCATGTAATTTGACAGTTGCCTGCTGCCCAAAAGGGATGCAATGAACCCCAGGGCTGATGAGCGAGAGAGGCGAGGCGAGGCGAGAGGAAAGGGAGAGAGAGAGAGAGGGGCCCTTCAGTACGTGTCCAGCTGTTGCCTGTAAATGCAACACGTGGCAGGTGTGGCAGTCACTACCTTGACGTCTTGCAGCTGCTGCTTTTGTTCTGTTGTTGTTGCTGTTGTTGCAGCTGCTGCCAGACGCTGACAGGCAACAGCAGCAACAGCAACAGCAACAGCAACAGCAACAGCAAACGTAAACCCATTTGGCAATTATATTAAGAAGAGCTGAGGACCAAAGGGCCACAAGGATAAAGTCAAAGCTGTGCGATGGTCGAGTCGAGACTCAAGCGCCGCCGCGTGTTGCACCTGTCCTTTTGTTGTTGCTGCCGTTGCTGCTGCTGTTGCTGCTGTCGCGTGTTATTGTTGCTGCTAGTTGTGATTGCGACTGTTGCTGCTTAAAAGGAAAACTCTGCTCATTTCTGGTAGGCCCAGCCAATTAGCTGCGCTGCTTCGTTATAACTCATTTGCGGCAATAAATGTCGCTGGCTGCAACAAGCCAACAAGCCAACAATCCAACAATCCAACAGGCAGCCAGCCAACCAAGCAACAAGCAACACTCAACAATAAACGTGGAGCAAGAGCTAAAGGGCGGCTGAGCGGGGGGGATTGATTGCACTTTGGCGTGTTGCTCAAGTTGTGCTTAAGCTGTTGTTGTTGTTGTTGTTGCTATTGACGTTGCCGTTGCCGTTGCCGTTGCCGTTGCCGTTGCTGCCATTTGTGATTTGGCTTTTCTTTACCTGGAATGTTGCACACCGAGCGCACGCCAGCAATAATGTTGCCCAAACAATGACAGCGGCATTAGAGGCTTCCGCATTCCAATTTAATAAGTCACTCGAGTCGAGTCGACCCGATCACAGTATAATAACAACAATTGCCTCAGTCGTAGCTCATGCAAAACAGTTTGAATCACAAAATAATTATGCTGTTGAATGTTTTCCTACATCAAGGAAAAATACCAAAGAGAGGCTAATGGGTGGAGACAGACATTCAAGATTAGGAACTAGAAGTAGTAGCCATATAAAAGATATTTTCAGACATAAATCAAGTAGATATATCATTAATATATCGACTTTATTCCTCCTATAATTGTTCAATTTTTATATTAAAATCACAGATGGAATGTTCCGATACAATATTTATATACTATGGGTATTTCTTGAGCTACCTCTAGCCGAGTTCCATTTGAGGGCACACACAGCTTGAATTCCTTCCGCTGAATCAGTTCGACACACAAATACGCAACGATCTATGAATAAAAATTATAATAAATGTGTTTTCGTGGGTACAATAATATAATGATGTCATATGGCATATTTCAAGCATTTCATTCATATGGATCGTTGGTCTAGTCTAGTATATAGAGGCCTTCAATTGCATTATTGACTAATTCGCTTCCTGGCCAACAGCCCAAAAAGTGACTCAACCTCAAATTGTGAATGTGAAATTCAATGAATGTATTTTTATTCACAATGCTGTCCAACTACGGCTGCAAAAACGAAAACAAAAACAGAAAGAAGCAAACCATCCATCAATTTGAGCGCTCGCAAAATGCAAAACAAATCAAAAAACAAACTGCAAAAAGTTCGCAACAAACGTCACGAAAACCTTAAAAAAGTGGTAAATTAAAATAATAGTAATTAGTGACTGACTAGGAAATACCCTGAGAACGAAATACATATCTCAAGGAAATGCATTCGAATGAGATTCCAAATGGAAAGCTAAACGATATCGATAGTCTAAGGGACATAAAGTATGCCTTAGTGGTAGAGTTCTTAGGAACGGACAGATAGATGGATAGACAGTCGAGCAGAGACACAATTTGATGGACAAGGGTGAGATATAGAGGAGATACGCTACGGAGAAGCGGGGGGACAGATGAAGGGACGGACAAAGAAAGCAATAGTAAGAATGCCATTAATAAGACTGTATCTATCATACCCACTCTCCACTTTCCAATCAGTACAGGGCATGAAAATGGGCTAATATTAGTAAGCTTTCGTCATTAAGTTTCGAGCATGTGACTAAAAGAATTTTGCACAATGCTAAGAACACCAATAGCTAAATTTGGCAATAGCTAGAAAAAATGTATATTATGATAATCTCAATAAGTCAATATGAGATGGGTGAAAACGTATTCAGTGCCAGGTATAATATACAGTCATATGCAGAGATCGAGAGTGATATGGTTGGGCTGTTCGGAAAGGTATTTTCGGTTGTAAAAAAGTAAAAGTTGCAAGTAATAGGGCAGAGACTCGACTCTCGATGGAGGGGACCTTTGAAAACAAGTGCGAAAATGAATGAATTATGAGTCTTGTACAGCTAGTTCTAACGACCCGTCTCTGCGCTTCCCCTTCCCCGCTCCTTCTTCTGTACTTTCTACTCTCGTCTGCTTTTTTGGGTGCTGTTGCGAAATCGTATGAATATTTTGCTCACGCGCTGCCAACAATCACTCATTTTGTTGAGGCGACAACGGCCCATGTCCCCTGGCAGCCCCCACTCAGCAGAGCAAAGAAGTCACGTTTGTTGCCGCCCCCAACCCCAGCACGCATCCACCTCCCACACTACGCATCACAAAGCCTCGCATACAAAGTCAATTAGTTGTGATGCCCCGACGAAGGCTTCTCTTGTTCTTGTCA